AGTCTTGGTAGAATTGAGACAAGATGGTTCCTCCCCATCCAAACCCACACAGTTGTCAAGGCACTGGGACAGAACCTTGACAGCCTCACTTGGCTGGGCCAGGATTTAAAGTTCTAACTGGGTACCATGAGCATACTGATGATACCAAACCCCAAACCAGCAGATGACCTCACTCAGTGGTTTCATGTAGATGTTGAAAATGAGGGGAGAAAGAGTAGAACACCGCAGCATCCCATACAGGAAAGGCTTAGGGAGCCATCTTTCCCCCACAACCAACACTGATCGGAACCAGCCCTGGAGAAAGGAACAGAACCACCATAAAATGGTGGCCCCAATCCCCAACCCACAGAGCCAGCTCAGAAGGATACCATGGTTGATGTTATCGAAAGTTCAAGGAGCACAAGGATGGATGCATCACCATCATCCTGGCTCCACCACAGGTCATCAACAAGCACAACCAAAGCTGTCCCAGTACTAAATCCCAGCCTAAAGCTGACTGAAGTGCCTCTAGATAAGCCATTTCCTCCAGTATTCTCATCAGCTGCAGACTGACTACCTTCTCAACAACCTTCCTCAAAAAGGAAAGGTTGGAGCCTGGTCAATAGTTGTCAAAATCCACTGGGTCCAAGGACAGCCTCTTGAGGAGGGGGCGTACTACCTCCTCACCCAGAAAGGCTGACACCATGGCATGGACCCACCCACAGGTCACCTCCTTGACCACTTTTACGATCCAGGAGGGCCCCAGATCCCTTATCCCTTATCATAGGGAATGATTACATTATATCATCCCAAAACTTTACTATCCAGATTGCCATTTTTCATGGCCTAAAGTTTCTAGGTTCTTCCCTCTTAAATCCATAAGAAGAGAAGGTGGGGAGAATGAGAAAGTATTCACAGATTCTCTGTTAATCAGATGAAAAGTCACTTTGGCGTCTCAACATCCTAAAATTTGATAATCCAGTCTATTATTGGGTTAGTGGCCTTTATATGCTTTTATAGTCTCTTCCCTGTTGTACTTAATGTACTTTATTGTTTTTACAATTTTAATATTTTAAGTAGCTGTGTAATCTACCAGAGAACTGAAATTATTAAGTAGATCAGAAATAAATAACCAGGCACAATTCAAAGAAATATGGGCAGGTCAAGCAGCTACAAATCAGAGTACAACCTGACTAGGATTCACTGTCTTCACACGTACAACATTTCTTTGAAATAAAACTGATTTCTTTGCAATAAAATTTTAACAGAAAAGGTTTAAAAGATTAACAGAAAGTTACTGACTGGGGTTCACACATCTTGCTAATGTTGTTTGTTTAGCTTGGCTTAGAACTACATAAGAACAAAGCTATTGTGTGAAAACACTGTTGCAGTTCAGAAATGATAAGTGCATAATGCAAATTAAGGCCCTTATCTGGAGACAGCAAGGATAGCTACAAGCCAATTTGTTTCTCATTCTTTCTTGTCAACTGAAAAAGTAACATAAATACAATGAACCAACAGCTGCTGTCTATCCTGTTGTCTGGAGAACAAATGGAGAGAAGTTACATGTTGAGTGGTCAACATGAATGAATGATACAGGAGGTAGAGTTGCAGATATTTACATACAGACAGCACTCTAGATGTTATGCTGAAGATACAAATCATGCATCTCAACTGCCCAACCAGTACAACTTAATGTGTAAATTAAGTCCTCACCTTTCGAATGAGTTTCCACAACGGGCTAAGCCATAATTTATTTATTTATTATAATTGTATACCACCAATTCCATAATCCAACAATAAACAAGTAAAAACACAACCTACAACAAACATAACTAATAACAGTAAAAAAATAGAACCCCCTTGACATATACTGAACAACATCATCTATCAGAATAATTCCATTTTGGTTACCCTTCTAAAAATCATGCAGTTGGTTTGACTTTGACTAAATACAGTCTGTGAAGCCAACTATTGTGGCTTATAAACCATGATTAAAGGGACTGTATAAATATCACTCATATAGTTCACAGATAAGAAGAGGATGAATCAATTTGTGAAAGAAGCATAATTATCCTTCATAACCAAATTTTGGCTCAATTGTCTCAATAACTCCAGTTTAAATATTTTTCCTTTTAAATTTACACAATTTTTAGATTCACACAATGGGAACAACTACTTACTTTGGTAGCAACAATAAAGGAAAATTAACATGCCTGCTAGAATTGCTCAGAAGTAGTTGTACATTCACACCCACATTGTCCTACTAAAAACATTCTGCAATTCTTTCCTCTCTGACAAACAACAGTAGAGAGATAGTATGTCATTTGGCTACTTCAATCGTAAAGCGCTATGATATAAAAATCGCCCAAATTATACACAATCAGATGATGTGTGGTGCAGAACAATCTGTATGACATCCATATCCCTGTTCAAAGCCAGCTATGAAAAGACTGAAAATCCAGAGCACAAAAACAGAGATCAAAGGTCAGCAGCCCTTCTCCAGTCTGGCATTTACTGTACTAATCCAAGTCACAGCCTAATACATTTAAAGCACCCAAAAGATGCTCAGGAAAAACTTACACTGATGCCAACTAAGCCTACATTCTACACTTTTAGTTCAGTGGTTTACTTAAAGTTAGGTGGACTTTCAGGCTGTGTTCTGCTGGTACAATATAAATTTGATAAGTCCCTCCTCTCAGAATTAAATATACAAATAGAAATAAAGTGGACCATAGAGGAGAGTAGAAGAGTATATAAACACATTTGTGGAAAGAACGCAGCAAGCTGCTGAGTAACTGCCTATGAAGCAACCACTAAGACCTGTTTTGACAGTGAGAGCAGATTAAGAAGTTTCCTGAAGGAACTACTACAAGATATCCAAGAACAATTACTAATGAAAATATGAGGTTGTTAGCTTTTGAAAATATAATCAGTCATACCTCATGCTGAAATCAAGAGGGAAGCTTCAACTGACACCAACAGATCCAGAATTACCTCCTGGTGCTTCCGGGAGTGAATGTACAACTGCATTCATTAGAGAGTCAGAAATCTATACTACAACCTAGCATAGCCTTCTCTAACCTGATGTCCTCCAGATGAATTGGGATTCTGATTCCAATAACTCTCAATCAGTGTGGCTGACTATATCAATAATGAACTACCACCCAGAGCACTCCAGACTGGAGAAAGCCAATCTAGTGCAAAGATAACCATTGTGTGTCCTTCAAAAGATCTGAAGTTCAGGAGTGAATTAGACCTTTAGATTTAACATCAAGTCTTCCAGGTTGCATGTGGAAGGTTCATGTACCATCTTGGTCAGTTCTGTGAGTGAGAGGTGAACTATAAACAGAAGCTTGCATGGCAGACTTTATCAGAACCTTACGTGCACATCACCGAATGCAAACATTCAGTCCTGAATGTTTTTGAAAAAAATTCTGAATTACTCGGATGAAAGTATGCACAGAGTTTTCCAAGGTATAGTTTTCCACATCAAGTAATATTCCTACACTAAGCATCAACCACTGGATTCTGAAGTAGGGTTGGGAGATCACTTTCCAAAACTCACCCCCATCTCCATCTAGAAATCTCTTTTGCATTAGCACTGCCCACTACCAACAGCCTAATATATGTGCATGCAAAACTAAACCCTCTCTGTTCTTTCAAAACTACTCCAGCAAAAATCTGTGAATTAGAAAAGCTTAACTGGATACCAGCACTTGTACTGTATTAATTCTACAACAAACACTCAAGTGCAAGATGTAGATTCAGCCCCATGCTTACATTTAAGCTACTAATGGGTCTCAACTAGGGAGAGGGAGCGAACATACAAGAAGTATTTCTTTTTTAAATGTTATCTTTAAAAAAAAAAAAAAAAGCAAAGCCAAACTAAGAAAGCAGTGTATCTTGTAGGTTTTCTGCTGTGCCAGGAGTGTTGCATAACAGGGAAAGGAAAAATGTGTCTATAATAGGTTATAGCCAACCTATTTAAGGCAAGCTTTCATCCAAGGAGGTATCATGGGTGCTGAAATTGGAATGCAGCCAGCTGGACTTGTTTCCCCAATATTCACCCCCTCTTTATGTCCTATAGCAGAGAATGCTCCCCTCAAAACCTCATCTAGGAACACTTCCATTCCCGGTGTTGTGTGACCTAAGAGCTAAAGACCACAAATTGGGGAGGGAAAGGCCACAGATTTTAAGAAGAAAATCTTAAAATCTTGACCGCCCATTCTGTTTGACACACACAACGTGCAGACCACACAGGCTCTCATCAGAGTGCTAGTCAATGTGTCAGCCCAGCCACTGCTTTCTGGAAGCAGCCTACCTATGGGAGATACCAAATTCACGCCTACGTCCCCAGCAGAGGCTGGATGCAAACCTGCCCTCCAGGCATATCTATGATGTACCGATGGATGCCCCGCCTGCCCTAAAACGGGCTTCCATCAAAAGAAGGCACCATTTATCAAGCTAGGCATCGGGAAGGAGAGCCCTCGCCGTCGAGAAGATCCGACCCGAGAGGGCCCCCCAAGCCACCATTCACACAACTGCAATGCAGCTTTTACTACCCTGCC